CAAGTTTCTGCAATCAAATTAATTTCATTCTTCATCTGTTGGAATATTGGTCTTCAATGTTTAATAAATTCCTTAAAAGTTAGAATACAGCAATGTCCACAAGAGCCAAACTGTGGAAAGAGCCAAGATGTCCATCGAGAGATGAATGGATAAAGAAGAGGTGGTATATATACACAATGGAATATTATGCAGCCATCAAAAGGAATGAGATCTTGCCATTTGCAACGATGTGGATGGAACTGGAGGGTGTTAAAAATAATACATTATATAAAGAAGAAGAAGAAAACAGGAGGGGAAGAATGAAGGGGAGTAAATTGGAGGGGGAGATGAACCATGAGAGACGATGGACTCTGAAAAACAAACTGAGGGTTCTAGAGGGGAGGGGGTGGGAGGATGGGTTAGCCTGGTGAAAAAATAAATAAATAAATAAATAAATAAGTTAGAATATATTATCACTCTACAAATGAGTTTATTACCTGGGTTCTTTCTTAGTGGTTTTCAGGATATGAACAAAGATAGAAATGCAAAGATAGAGACCAGTGTGATACCCTTAATAGCCTTAAGAGAACTTGACATAAATTCTGCAACATGGGGAGAGCTACTGTAATACCTCAAACCCAGGTTCAAAAAACAAACTTGAGAAAATAGTTCATATAAGCAAACCCTCCCCTCTATAGTACAACACCTTTCACAGTTCTTTACCAGTTCAGCTCCTTACCTTTACCTTAGGAGCTCAAACAACTGGGGACATTACAGAGGGAGGGTGGTGTGTTTCGGGAGTCACATCTGGTGATCTTTCCATTCTTTGGGGAGTCTTGACGTATTTAGCATACATCAACCTGCATCCATCCATAAAAGTTTTCCTGAGTATCTAGCATCCAAACATCATAAATAAGTGAAGCAACAACATGTCCTAAATATCAATTAGAAAATATGGCCAAAATAGGTAACACTAATATTTAACCATACCTTAATCATAAAAGATGACTGAAATGCAATTAAAAACCAAAGGGAATATAGAACCCACTAAACATACGTGAGAAATATAAAATTTCAGAGCACCAAAAGGTCATCCAGAAAGTTAAAAAAAAAAAGAGGCTCAAAAATAAAGGAAGATTTGAAATACTCATTAAAGGTAGGAATCTTCCCCTTACATTAGTCCTTTATGTAACTCAACTCAGCTCTAATTGATTACCTTCTTTTAAAGTCACTCCATTGGATGAGATTATTGGGGGAATGATTAAGTAGTGGAATATGGACCAAACCTCTGAAAAAGGTAATCCAGGAGAGAGAAAATGTCCGATGAGAGAACTGGAAGCAAACCATCATGAAGTAGTGTCACAGAATCTAGGAACAAAGAGAACCTTGGGATAAGCCTTCATATCTATTTATTTGGAGGTTGCTAGGAAGAATAATTTTGATTGAGTGGAAAGGGGTGATGAATAAGTAGATCTGGAGATGCAGACCCATGACTGCAAAAGTCTGGAAGTAGAAAGATCAGTGGTAATGATCACTGGGTCTGTGAGCAGATGACTTGGAGGTTCTCAGCACCTTCCTGGTCATAAACCTTGTAAGCCTAAGTGTCAACCACATCCTGCTGACTATGAGATGTTCCACTTAATAAAACAAAACATCTCTCTCTCTGATTCTTTGCAATGGCAGTTGTTTTGAGTTGGAACATATTTTCAGAGAGGCACCCAGTTTTACCGTGGCTCATCCCTCAACCTCTAGTCATGAACACCAACTCGTGTAGATGAGCATGCATAGATACCGAAGCATGATTTGCTTGGGTTTGGAAAATTAAGAACCTATGATACATATAACTCTATATAATAATATAGAAAAACAGAACATTATTCACTCACATTTGAGAAAAATGTAAGTGGTTCTACTTGACAGAATGTAGGACAGAGAAACCAGAGGGTTTTGATCCAGTCCCACTTCTACCACAAGGTTGCTGCATGAGCTCAGATAAGGGAGGACAAAGGGTCCCGGGAGGTATGTAGCTGAGTGGGATAGCCTGTATCTGATGGTGCAAAGATTAGTGAGTGTTAAGTTTTAAGTGCTTCCCATGAGAGTGTAAGAGAGCAGAGGTCTCTCTGTTTAGGAAGTGCCCTCCCCATGATATGCTTGGCACTGGCTGGACGGGCAAATGTTCTTGGCAGACATAGGTCATACTAAGCCTCCACACTTTGATTGGGCCTCGGTGCCCATCTGATTTATCTCCCAAGTCAGAGCACTTTTGAGAGTGTAGGCATCATTAAGAATCATGCACAAACCCCTCTGGTAAACATGGACGTAGGACATTCCTACACAGATATGAAACCCAATAATTTGATTAATCTCCTGTCCATCATCCCCTTTTGTCTCCCTACTGTTCTCTCTCCTCATTTCCACTCGGGCTTCCAATCATCCTCTATTCTACCAATTTTGCTTTCCCTGAAAATCATGCACGTATCACTCCTCCCTGCTTCTGCAAGATGTTCCCTTCTCTTTTACTCTACGCACTTTCCAACCTTCTGTCTGACATTTATTCATCCTCCCCTATTATTCATCCTTCAAAGTCTAGCATTCGTGCCACCTTTTCTGCAAAGCCTTCCCAAAGACCCCTAAGTAGAAATAATCACTCACTCCTCTGAGCTTTTAGTTTCTCTGTGTTTATGGTGCTGATGTTGTCATTCAATTATTAAAAGAAAGGACACTGGAGACAGATGGTAGGACTTTTAATTCCTGTTTTGTGACTTGCTAGCTGGGAAAATTACTCAGCTTCTCATGTATAAAATGCAGATACTACTACTACTAATACTTAATAGGATTATGGTGAGGGTCAATGAGTTAATAGATGTAAAGCGCTTATGAAAAATACCTAGCATGTGGTAAGCCCTAAGAAGTGTTTTCTGTTGGTATCATCACATTTTATTATGGACAATTCTATAATATCTGATTCTAACAACAAATGGTGGAATCCTTCAGGGCAGAGACGTTTTTCGTCTTTATAGACTTAGTTAACATGAGAATAGTATCTGCTGAAAAACGGATGTTTAATAAATACTAACTGAATTATTTCTCTAGGGCATCTTGCTGGAAAAGAGATTTGGGGGTATTAGGCTGACCTTTAACCAAATTGAAACCTACAGAACTGCCTTTTTGTTTCTCTTTCCCTCAACCATAAACAGACAGCTCTCTTTCTCAGCTAGACATCAGCTCATTTCTGTTACTTCCAGGGGAATTTGCTTTTAAAAAGAGAATATAGAATTTGGGAGGCAATTCATTTTTTAATTTATTTCGTGATTAGTTTCAGAGGTAGAATTAAGTGGTTCATCAGTTGCATATACCATCCAGTGCTCATTACATCAAATGCCCTCTTTAAGGCCCATCACCCAATTCATTTTTTAATGACAGAATTCCAGGCATGAAAAACATAAAATACTTGGGAACAGGGACTCTGACAAACATGATTTAGAGTACACCTTTTTTTTTTTTAAGATTTTATTTATTTATTTGAGAGAGAGAGAATGAGAGACAGAGAGCACGAGAGGGAAGAGGGTCAGAGGGAGAAGCAGACTCCCTGCTGAGCAGGGAGCCCGATGCGGGACTCGATCCCGGGACTCCAGGATCATGACCTGAGCCGAAGGCAGTCGCTTAACCAACTGAGCCACCCAGGCGCCCTAGAGTACACTTTTATGAAGACTTTAAAGTTGGCTCAATGTACACAGTTTGTGTCCCCCTTCCTTGTTTTATTATAGTAGTAAGAATATAGTAATAAGAATGTTAATGGATTCACAGGATCTGAATCCTCTTTAAGGAAAAACATTAGGCTATATTTTATTGTTCCAGCATAGACTGTCAGGCCTCAGGCCTCCCACCATCTCCTAATTGGGGGTTCAGAAAAGAAATCATTGAATAAGCTAAATAAATGTATCTTGTAAATGTTTTGTTAACATGAATTTCAATATTTCTGAAGCAAAACTTGCTTTTACTTTAAACATTTTTGGATTCCTTGAGTGTATTGTGGGAGGGAATGGAGAAAATCTCTGGGCATTGCTAGGTCCTATTCTTCTTTATGAAACTAATTATTGAATAAAGTGAACAGCTCAGCTGAAAGAAGAGGCAAAGTGGTTGCCTCAGAAAACTCTGTTTCTAATTAAGAAATAAAGGGGGAGGAGGGTTAAAGCATAGAGTGCCACTCACTCCACAGTCTCTCCAGCAGACTGAAACACGGAACACAAAGGAGCTTAACTTGGAAGGCTTAGAATAAATTCATGGGAGCCCTGGGGCTCTTTGTCTTCCTTGGAAAACCACTGGTTCAGTCTAAAAACTTGACCTGATAAAACCACTGTTTTATCACACTCATAATCACACTACGAGCTGGTAGTGAAATGGAAACAACTAAACTAGGGCATTAGTCACAAAGTTTTCACTTTCCTTATATAGTTGGGAGCTAATCGTATTTGCCTAAGGACCTACAAGCAGAAAGGACAACCATGGGATGGAGAGGAAAACATCTTTGCTGATAAGTTATTCCCCTTTTATACAGTTGAGGAGACAGAGAAAACATTTTATTTTGCCTCTGACATTTAGTCCGTTCATACTGAAAGAGAGAAGATCCTATCATGCTCTCAATTAGTTATTTAAAATCCCTTTCTTCTGCTTATTGCCTTTCCTCATAAACTTGGTCTCATATATAGTTTAGAGGGACATAGGCTGGGAAAGGTAGACAAAATGCTTCAGTGCCAAAGACAATCTTTCTTCCTTGTAGCAGTAGAAGGTTCTCCACAGAAGAAAGGCAAAACAACAGTAACCCAGACTGTTATTTTGAAGCTGGGGGAGCAGATTTAGGTAAAACAAGAAAACAAAATAGACAAGACAATGAAGTATTGTGATAGAGTGAGCCATGCCCTCCAGCGTGTGCTGAAAAGTTACATGTGAGGATTTCAGAAGGATATTTCGCATGTGGGATCAGAAGAATTCCATTCCATCAACCCATCCATCCACTCTTACTAACTCTCAGGAACGTGGTTTGTCCTGTGCAAAATTATTTTCAGGGCTGTTTTAACTTCTTTATTCCTCAAAGTATAGATTAAAGGGTTCAGCATTGGTCCTACCAGATTCATCAGAATTTGAACCACAGTGCCCAGCACGGGGTTAGGCGTGGGCTGCAGGTAGACAGTGATGATGTGCCCGTAGGCACAAAGGATGGCAATGAGGTGGGCACTGCAAGTGGAGAAGGCCCGGCAGCGGCCCTCAGCTGAAGGAATATGCAAGATGGAGATGGTGATTCGAGTGTAGGATAAGAGGTTAGGAGAAAGCAGAGGAGAGATACCAGGCCAACGTTGGTGAAACTCACCCTCTGGGCTAAGGATACATCAGCACAGGCCAATGGCAAGAGTGCTGGAATATCACAGAAGAAGTGATCCACTTCATTAGGACCACAGTATGGCAAAGTGAAAGTGAGCAAAGTCAAGATACTGGAATGGATACACCCTAACAGCCATGTGCCCACAGCCAGAGCCCCACAGATTCTAGGGCTCATGATGACTGTGTACCGCAGAGGGTAGCAGATAGCAGTGAAGCGGTCGTAGGCCATCACGGTGTACAAGAAGCATTCAGTGTTGCCAAGGAAATGGAAGAAGAAGAGCTGGGAGACACAGTTCTCATAGGAAATGAGTGGGCTCAGTCCCATGAGGTACAGTAGCATTTTAAGACGGGTCACAGAAGAGAAACTCATGTCAAACACAGACAAGTTCCCCGGGAAAAAATACACGGGTGTGTGAAGGTGAGTGGAAGAAAGAATAGCCACCAGGATGGACACATTTCCCAGCAGGGTGCAGGCATAGAAGGGCAAGAACAAGACAAAAAGCAGAGTCTCCAGCCCCTTTGTGTGGGGAATCCCCAACAAGATGAATTCAGTCACCACCGAGCAGTTCTTCTTCCCCATGAGAGATGGTCCTAGGGGAGGAAAAGGAAGCAGAGGACATGGAAGAATGCCCTGGCTTGATGGCAGTGAACATACTGGGCAAATGAAATGTGTAATTGGAATGATAGCATTTTGGTTCAAAGTTAAGGAAAAATGGCTGAAGACCCATATCACAGGGCATTTTAACTGGAATACACTTGTCATAGAAAACTTAGTGGTTACTGTGCCATATATTTTTGTTACACCAATTCTAAAGGCAGACATCCCTTATTAAAACAATACTTTAAAAAAAAAGTATCTTAGAGCAAAGATTTTCAAAGGGAAGGACAGAGCCCACACAAATGTGTGCTCCTTCAGAGAGGAAGGATATCAGAAGCCTCAGAATCAACCAGGGGCTTTTTCACATGTTGAGATATGTGGCACCATGGGGATTTAAGGGATTGCTTTTATGGGTAACTAGGAAAGAAGTTAGCCCAGTATAGCTAGAAAGAAGGCAGTCTATCTACCTGTCAGGCCAAGGCCAATGCTAGTTGCTAGTACCACACCAATAGCCCAGTTAGCTCAGTTCCTTAACAAGAACTAGTCCGTTCCCAGAGTAGATAGAAAATAACTAAAACATGCAGGGGGATGATCCCTCCTAGAGAACTATCATCACAGCCCATCAGTTCATTTCTCGGTGAAGATAATGGAAGCACAAAACCCCATGATTTCTGGCACTATTCTCAGAGGGTCTGGTCCCACCACTTGAATGAGCCACAGCAACTCACATATGTACACACACCACACATTATGTCCTTTAGCACTGAGCAGTCAGACTAAAGGCAGCAGGAGGAGATTCACTCTGTCTAGCACCCTGCTAAATTGATGCAATAATCCTATCTTGGGACAGATTTTGGTAGACTTGTCAAAATCATATTCCAAGGTGCCTACACAATCACTCTTGGTGTTTCATGAATGGAAAACTAATGCAGTGATTGATGCTAACAGGGGGAAGCTGAAAAACTTAGGAGGTGAATGGAGATTGCTTGTATGAGCAAGACTCATACAGTTCATTGACCTTCATGCCTAAGGAAACTGGCCACAAGCATACGAGGAGCAGAGGTATCGGGACATGTCTAGGCATCAGCATGGATTACATCCAGATGGCTCTGCTGCAATGAAGAGTTCTCAGAAGGCCTACTTGAGGTGCTACAGAGTTCTCTCACCATCAGGGTGTGCATACCTTGTCCCTTATCATCCTTCACCACCTGTCCTTCACCCCCATCCCTGATCAATAATTCATCTTGGGCCCTGATGGGACCCAGCCCACATCAAATTCCACTCTTAAACCATTATCCACATAGCCTTGAAGAAAGGTGTTCTCAAATTCAACTACCCTCTATGACAGGAGTCAGCAAACTATGACCTGTGGGGCATATCTTGTTTGCTGCCTGATTGTATAAGTGAAGTTTTATTGGAACAAGCCCCATCCATTTGTTGGTGTACTTTTCTATAGCACTTTTCATGCTACCATAGCAGAGTTCAGTATTTGTGATAGAGACCATATTGTCCTCAAGGCCTAAAATATATACTATCTGGACATTTAGATAAAAGGTTTGTTGATCCCTGGTCTATTAGATAGGGAATTTGTCACAGGTTTGTATCAGTTAGAATTGCTGTTCAGCTGTCTTCAAGGCAGAAAGACAACTGTCATGGATACATTTTTTTTTAAATGAATTTAATACACACCTGGGAAGAAAAAAGACCAACTTTACCCACCAGGGGATTAGTGACCTTCTGAAACAATCTGTTCCCCAGCCAGTTTTTTCAGGGCTCCTTTGACATCTTTGTTTCTCAGAGTGTAGATTGTGGGGTTCAGCATGGGGGTGACTACATTGCCAAAGATTTGTACTGGGGTTACCAGCACCTCACTCTAAGATGGCTGGGTATAGATGAGGGCACAGGGCCTGAAAAACAGTGTGACCACTGAGAGGTGGGAGGCACGGGTGGACTCTGCCTTGCACCTCCCCTCAGCAGAGTGCATCTTTAGGATTGCAGTGACAATACCGACATAAGAAGCAAGGATGAGGAGAAAACATGTCATGGGCACAAGGCCGATATTGGTGAAGCTCACTGTCTCAGTGATGAGGGCATTACCACAAGCCAACTTGACTACAGGGAAGATGTCACAAAAGAAATAGTCTACTTTGTTAGACCCCCAGTATGGCAGTTGGAAGGTCAGCGTGGTGGTGAGAATTGTGGCATGAAAAGAGCTAGTAAACCAGGTGCTGGCAGCCAGCAGGGCACACACCTGGCGGTTCATGATGATGATGTAACTCAGTGGGTGGCAGATGGCAGCAAATCCGTCATAGGCCATCACCGTGTAGAGCAGGCACTCGGTGCTACCCAGGAAGTGGTAAAAAAAAAAAAAAAAAGACCTGAGACATGCAACTACCCAAGGAGATGACTCAGTTCCTCACCAGCAGGTTAGCCAACATCTTCGGGGTGCTCACAGAAGAGAAGCCAATGTCCAGCACAGAAAGGTTACAAAGAAAGTAATACATAGGAGTGTGGAGGTGGGGATCAGACATCACAGCTACAGGATAAGCAGATTTCCTAGTACGGTGCAGAGGTAGAAGATGGAGAACACAACAAAGAGCATGGTTTCTTGCCCCTCTGTGTATGGGACGCCCAGCAGAATGAACTCTGTAACCAAAGTGTAATTCCTCATCGCCATAGAAGTTAGACTTTATCCTGGAAAGGAGGAAGAATGACAATAAGTGAATGACCCAAGGAATGAAATTGCACTCTTTGCTACCAGTAGATTCATAAAAGGAAACATAATCATAGGCTCTATCAGTGAAAAGATAATGTTTATTGTTACTTGGACTGAAGGGCAGCAAATGCCCCAGAAGGACGTGTGGTGTCTGGGGTGAGGACACAATGCAGGTAACTTGACTGGTATATAGACAGGTATTATTTTATTATTATCAGATGGAGAAGAACAAATGGCAAAGAGTGTAGAAGTTTTGAGAGCTGAGAAAAGACAGGAAAGACAAAGGAAGGATAAAATAAGAGAGAGAAAAGAGGAGGAATGGATTAGGCACATTTATAGTTTACATAGAATTTTCTTTCATAACCATTTGCTTCTGAAGCTTTAACAGAATCCCAGAAGCCAGGTATAATATCTCCATTTCATAGATGATGAAGAAATGATGATTCAGGGAAGTTAAATAACTTGCTCAGGTTCTCAGATACAGATTGTGACAGATCCAGGATTGGAACCCAAGGATTCTAGATGCATCATACCATAATTGGAAAAAGAGAAAAAAGAACTATGGAAATGCAAATAAAAGAAAAATCAATATATTCTCTAAACTGAAAGGGCCTTAACAATAATTTAGCTCAATCCCTGACTTTTTAATTTGGATGTTTCCATAAACATTCTTGCCAAGTGGTTCTTGAGTCCCTCTCTAATCATTCTTATGTTAATTCTATCCCTTTGTCTATTATTGCTCAACACTCCAGACAGCTATGCAACAAAGAATGTTATCATGGCATTCTTTATTTCAGTCAACCGGCTCAAACATCTCAAGAACAATCAAAGCGATGTTGAGAACACTATGACCTAAAATTGAACTTTTTCATATGTAAAACTATAAGGAAGATTTTTCACCCTGGTTTCTGCTAAGTGCTGGAACCATTCTTTTTTGTTGTTTTATTTTGTTTCTGCAAAATCACAGTTCCCTACATATATAGTTTAAAGGTATTCAGTTTCACCATTTTAGTATTTACCCATCACCTAAGCCTATTAAAGCATCTTTCTGAGTTTTGACTCTGTCATCCAGTATAGACTGTGTTCTTTTCAGCATGACCTTCCTTTAATCATGTGGCCTCCTGCCATCCATCTCTAAGTACTTGCCACTAGAAGCATATATATATATTTACTCTGAAGAAATCGGTAAGAGAATCTGTCCAAAAAGGTAATAAAATTCTCCTTGACTAAGACTTGGATATATTGTACCTCCTTTTCCTGATCTCAGTAGAGAAGAGATCTAGATTATGTGTAATGATTCTTTCAATTTAACTATATTTGGGGGGTTCCATTTAACACTGCACAGATGTACATACAGATTTTTTCATATCCTATGGATAAAGAAAGTCACTGCAAAGATAGAATATTTCATGTTTCTAGAGGGATTTTTTTTTTTTTTTTTTATGATCTAATAGAGATTAAGAAAGAACAAATTCCATGACCTTGAAAGATTTTCCTCTAAGAGCAAGAACAAGGTAAGGATGCCCGGTGATACTACTTCTAGAGAAAGAAATTAGCCAAAAAACAAAACAAAACAAAACAAACAAAAATAGACAGAAACCAAAACAAAACAAATGAAAGAAAAACAACAAAAACAAGAACAACAGCAGCAAATATCCAAACTGGAAAAGAGTAAGTAAAATTTTGTAGACTACATGATCTTCTATATAGAAAACCTTGAAGACTCCACATATGCACACACACACACAAATAGCCACCACAAGTGAATGGATGAAGAAAATGTTGTATATACATGCAATAGAATATTATTCTGCTTTAAAAAAGAAAAAAATTCTGTAATATGTGACAATGTGGTTGGACCTTGTTTTTTTTAGTCTATGTGAAATAAGCCATTCACAGAAGGACAAACACTGCATGATTCCACTTTTTTTTAGCATCTAAAATAGTTAAATTTATAGAACCAAATTGTGGAATGGTGGTTGCTAGGTGGGGAGAAGGAAATGGGGATTTACTAATCAACACGTGTCGTTTTGTTTAAGCAAGATGATTTTTTTCTAAAGATCTGCTGTACAGCATTGTGACCATAGTCAATATTCTGTATTATACACTTTTTTTTCTGTTAAAGGTGTCGATCTCATGATAAGTGTTCTTACCACAATACAATAAATTTTTTTTTAAAAAGTATTTCTAAAAATGAAAACAAAAGGATCACACAGGGGCACCTGGGTGGTTTTTTTAGTTAAGCATCTGCCTTCAGTTCAGGTCA